CACACACACACACACACACACACACACAAAGACATATACACAAAGACACATACAGAAAGACACACACACAAACACAAACGCAAATGCGTGTTCTTTTTTTATCATTACCACGTCCAGACAAGCAAAATTGATCCCTGCATGTATGAGGCAAAAGTGTAATGGATATTTCAATAACAATTTGTTGTTAATCTAAAATAAGATGGTGAGATTTTTTTCAAAAGTTTGTCTTTTAATTAAAATACAATATTAGTTCCACATGGATTTAAACAGCGTGGAGCTTCAAATTTCAAAGACAGAATGTGTTCCGCATGTTGTTCGATATTTAATTATATATAGAGGTCTGATGTTCTCACAATGTAGTTCAAACCCCCCTCCCCCTCTTCCCCCCTCTCCCTCCTTTTCCACTACATGTATCAAACGCACACACCCTATTTATTTATCCATACAAAAGCGTGCGTGCTCGCGTGTGCACGCGCCCACATACATACACACACGCAGGGACACGCATGCTCTCATGCACACACACACACACACAAACACACACACACACACACACACACACACACACACACACACACACACACACAAACACACACACACAAACACAGGCACACAAATACACACTCGTACATTATGTGCTTCCATAGAAGGGACAATTTAGATACAGGACAGGAAAGGGACTGCTTCGACTTTGCCTGTCAAAATCAAGTCAAGAAATTATTTTAAAGTTTTAATTTTACTTCGGAAACGTGCATGTGTAGGGAGAATAAATAGCCTATCCATTACCTTACTTCATTACTGCAGTCAAACGATGCGCAGATGTTTAAATCTATGTTGTTGTTTTTTCCAAGATAAGGTAACCCTCAACTAGACACGAAGGCCAAAGTCTATATTATGAGAAAATGTTGCCAAACGTTTGAAGTAAAGACGAGAGAATAGAGATGGAGAGAAAGCAGGGAACGTACACCAAAGTAGATCTAGTTGTGTTTGCGCCAAGCACAATAATCAATTTATTTTGAGCATGAATATATTAACGTATGCTTGCTATTCAATAGCTACAGAGGCAGGAGCTCCTGCTGGAATACTGTGGTTGTATACCCTACCCCACCCCACCCCACACCAACACCGCCCTCCTTCCCAATAATCACCCTAAACCCTCTAAGGGTATGCCTAACGGCTGGGTCTTCATGATAATGGAAGAGCCCATAAGACATTAGAAAATCAATAAAACAGTAAATTTCGTAGTCCAAGAAAATCTTTCCCTCTCTTTGCACATAGTTCGATGCAAATGGACTCCTTTTGGTGTCTCTTGGGAGCAGAAGTCGTGGGACTTTGTCATTGATTTTTGCAATAGCAACCGACCTCCCCTATGGAGAACCAGTCGGCCCTGAAAATCAATCTGTGTGCACCGCCACGTTAATCAAAACAAAACCCTGCAAACTTAAGAACCTTACAGCAAGAGAGGTATTATTATAATGCATGCAAAAAGAGTATTTGCTGACAGATAAAGAAAGAAAGAAGCTAATAGTTTACAATCAAATCTATACGACTTAGGTCATTAATATTTCGGAATCAGACTACCTGGACCCTGTCTGCAAGGGTATCCCAGGCTAAAAAGGATGCCACGTCAATGCAGATAAATAGAAATACTGGGTTTTTTTTAAGCAAAAAAAATTTTTTTTTTATATCCCTACATGCATACGGTTCCGTATATGGATCCATGTTTTCTTCGTATGACAGCAAAGAGATTCACTACCACACCACGACAGCAAAGAGATTCACTACCACACCACGACAGCAAAGAGATTCACTACCACACCACGTACCCGTTTAAGAAGATTGTTAGTTTCAAGGAACCTGGTGCTGTTTTTTCCCAGACTGAAGTCTGAGGAATTCAAAACACAAAGGCCAGTCCTCAATCTTCACACTATGGGCTACAGGGAGACGCGCCGTGCAAGGACAAGGGCCCGGATTCAAAAGGGGGGGGGGTCGATCTCAGTAAGATTCACAATGGAAACACTATATTATGTTAGTGTTTTACACCCCTATTGACACAATTGTAGATCATTATCGTGGCGGGCTACCGACCCTACCCATCAGGGCCGACCTGGGCTGAGAGGGGCATAACATCCCAACAGGAAGACCGAGATACTCGATAATAACTTTCTCCCCACTAAGGTCTCCTGCGTGCGCCAGCGAAGCACTATGCCGCTACACAACTACACCATAGGGCAACCAAGTGAATAGGACAAGCAAGTTACTCAGTAACAAAAAAAAGGAACGAAAGCAGTAGGATCTCTACCTGTGGAGCCTCCAAACATCTGCCTCCTGATGATTATGACAAAAGCATTCAGTGCCACGGCAAGAAGCAGTAAGAAGATGCAAGGAAATCACAGACTCCATGATCTGGAGGACAGGAACAAGAGTTAGGAATCATTAGGTGATTCGTGAACACTGTGGTGTGGCAGTAATGTGTGCAAATAGTTTACGCCCACACGTATACAATTTCGATCCCCAGGAAGTAAGCTGATTTCATCCTGCCTGTCAGGGCCAACCCGGGCTGAGAGTGATACAGTGTCCTTGTAGACAGACGATGGAAACATTTATTTTAAGAACTTCCCCACCAGGCAACCGAACTCGCATCTTTTGTAAGCAACGACGAAGAGCATAATCATTACACCGCTGAGGTTGGTCTGGTGATAGACGGTAAAGTCCGTCATGCCTCTGAAGCGGATCTATTTAATAACAACATGGATATCTTTAGAAACCTCAATAACATTTATTTTGGAGACTCAGAAATTCACTGCAGCTTGTTGAATTATGCAGAGGAGCAGAAGCAGTATCAAACTACTCTTTCTTTTTTAAAATTCAGCTGAAGTTGTAAATCAAACAAAGACCCTGGAAATATTATAAGACTCCAAAAGAAAGATTCCAGCATAGCTGCAGATAATAATTATGATTAGTTCCAGGCGTTGCTTTGGTACGGTATAGTTCTAACGCCTCTGCAAACACTATGGGTGCACCCTTTAAGAGCTGGCTACTTCGAGATAAGAAGGAAGAACCCCAGACAAAAAACTCGATATTGAGGGGACGAGGAGCAGGGTGCAGACTTGCTGGACGACGATAAGCCAGCCAGGATGTTATGTTTAACCCTATCCGTACGACGTGTTTTACTATCGTATCCATACGACGTGGGGAGCTCTGTGCCACCACTTTCCAAAGAGGAAATTTACTCGTTAATCCGATCCGTACGCTTTGCTTAGCAGTCTGTCAAAATGATTTTTTGAAAAATACTGAAAGTTTCAAAGAGATATCTTCGTACTAGAAGTATTCTAAAATGTGACGAATACAATCCCGGGGGTGCAAAATGACCCCAGGGCGTACGGATAGACAATCCGTGGGAACAAACCCAAAAAAAAAGATGGCAATGGATTGGGCACACACTCAAGAATCCAGCCCACAACGTAACAAGATAAAGTTCAATGTGGACGCCATGGGAGGAAAGGGGAGGAAGGCCGAGATCCACGTGGAAGCAGGTATCAAGCTGACATTCCAGCGAAACTTTTTTCTTCGGCACCCGAATTCTTCGTGAAGTGGGCGGGGCTATTTTCCCGCCAAATCTACTTCAAAGGAACGAAGCAGCATGGAAGCACTAGGTAAGTGGGAAAACGTCGAAATGTTGATTTCCTTGGTTCGAGAGAGAAGTGTTAAAACTAAGACTGAAAAGAGGTATTTATTTTCAATGTGGCTGCCATTTCCATAGCAACCACCTTTTTTTAAAGTTTATGGGAAACTTTCGGGAGTCTACGTAATCTATCAATGCTATCATTTATCGTTTAAATCATGTAATAACAAAAATAGCATTTCACTTACCCCCCCCCCCCTTCCTTAAATGCACTTGAATATAACTTCTTACATACATTAATTATAATTTAAGATTGCTGTATGTGCGCAGCCACATCAGCCAGCGCCGTTATTGTTAGGACTGAAGCTTCGAAAAGAAAACGACCCAAGAAAGTAAAGCTTATGAAGGAAGGACCATCATCCAGTATGAACGAATCAATTTAAAGCCTGCTTTCGTAGGAACAGGAGTTCTAACAGCAACATTTACTCTCTCGTTTTCAAC